CCCCAAAACCCCAAAACCCCAAAACCCCAAAACCCCATAAATGAAAATAATTTGAGGAGTGACTTATAAAATATTTTGAACCAAAAGGGAATTTTAAGTTTAAAATTCATTGATTCCTTATAATTAATATGTCTATAGCCAAGATGTGGCAGAGGCGTTCATTCGGAAAGCTACTAAATAGAATTAGAAGCTACGATAATGCCTAAATAAATTTGCCACCAGATTTTTCATTAGTAAACTATGCCAATTTGAAAGGATGAGGTTGCAAAGTTCCTGCGGCTACACTGTTTAAGTATCTAAAAGATATTGGGGATGGCTCAATCGCCAAAGAAACCCCAGATTGCAGTGTTACCAAATACCTTCACGATCCGACTAAGCATCTAATTTCAACCACAGATTTCTTCTATCCATTAGTTGAAGATCCTTATATGTAAGGTCGAATCGCTTGCTGTAATACCTTGAGTGATATTTATGCTATGGGTATTGACAGGGTTGATCATATGCTAATGATCTTAGGAGTCTCTCTTTAAATGTAAGAAGAGCAAAGAGAAATAGTAACAAGAGAAATGATTAGGGGATTTAATGATTGTGCTACAGAGGCGAAGACTATAATCACTGGTGGTCAAAGTATTATGAATCCTTGGCCAATAATTGGAGGTGTTGCAAATGTAGTTTGTGATGAGAATGAATATACTCTCCCAAGAAATGGTCAGGAGGGAGATGTGATTGTATTGACAAAACCCTTAGGAACCTAAGTTGCAGTAAATCTCAATGAATGGAGGCTCAAACCTGGCAATGAGAGATGGTAGAAGTCCAAGTAATTTGTAACTGAGCAAGAGGCGATAAATGCATATTAGTTATCGATGGAATCGATGGCTCATCTTAACATAAATAGTGCAAAACTCATGAAGAAGTATAAGTGTCATGGCGCTACAGACATTACAGGTTTTGGACTCTTAGGTCATGCTCAAAATCTCGCCACTGCCTAGTTCAATGATCTTGATATAATTGTACATTCATTACCTATTATAGATAAGATGGATGAAATCAATAACAATATTCTCAATTTTAAGTAAAACATATTAGTAATCTTTATCTCATATTTTCAGATTACTTTAAGGCTACTCAGCAGAAACAAGTGGTGGAATATTCTGCATGCTAGATAAAAATTTAGCTAAAGATTTTATGAAGGAACATAAAGAGGTATATGGTTAAGATTGTTGGGAAGTAGGTTAAGTCGTTAAAGGTAGTAAAAAGGCTACTATAAGAGAAGACATTGATATTATCCAGATAAAGGAGTCTTTCATCAGAGATTGAGGACAGATCTTTTATTAAGTAAATATAAGAGAGTGAAGTCGAGTATTCGAATCATCAATCATAAATAATCTTGATTTGTTCTGACTAAATCATTCAATGAATGTCAGTACTTTGATTTTCAATTGCTTTTGATTGATGTTTTGGATTTTCAATCTATTCTTTTTACAAAATGTATTAAAATCTAATACTTATTTTTTGATATTTTTGACCCTGGGGTTTTGGGGTTTTGGGG